CCAGTAGTGTAGTAGTACGGTTAAAATTTAGTTAGTTACAATAAAATAGTTACAATATTTTTAGATACTATTTTTAGATATTTCAGGTGACTTTAAAAACAAATACATATAAAGAAATATTGGAAACGAAAAAGGAGATTTTCCGCTATGACGTCGTTGCACAAATGGTTCTTCAAATGAGAGGTGTTGAGGAAATTGTCGATCTAACAAAAGGGCCAAGGGATGAGTGGGTTTTTGACGCATAAAGTGAGGCTAGAACAAACTAGGCACAACTATTAGGTACATGCATAAGAAATGCGGATTTCAACATTTTCCAACGATAGAAACCTGATTTCGATGAATGTTATAAACTATTTGAATGTTACTATTTGAATGTTACTATTGGGTTGGGGACTATGACTCGGCGCCAAACTTTAAAGGGACTTTTTGCACACATAAAGCCTTCTTTAAACATACGTTTGGTTTCATCAAAAGGATCCACTATTTCTCTACAAAATCACTTTTGAGAGATTCCACAAAGCTTTTCTTTCGTGGAGTTTATGGACTCCCAAACACAGCTAGTCAAAATGGCAAAGAGTCCGACTCATCATTTGAACAGTTTCTTTCACATAAACCTTCTTTGGTGTTTATATAAAAAAGATAGAGCACATTCAATTACTTAAGTTGCCAAATTTGCAGGAAGATCCCACCAATGGTTTTTTCTAGATCACAGTTTGTAGTTTTTGTGAAAAAATGGCTTTTTCTTGAGCGGAGGCGCTGTTTGAATTTCCTTTTAAATGTCGTTTTGTAGAGAATTAGTTAACCATTCTACTGATATCAAACGCATATTATTTGACGAAGTCGAATAGAAGTTTTAGACATTTTTTTGATTTTCGGCGCCGAGTCATAGTCCCCAACCCAATATTTGAATGTTACTATTTGAATGTTACTATTTGAAAGTTGTAAATCTCCTTTACAAACTAGGCTAAAACATCTTTCAATTGATCGAACCATTGAAGAAATTTCGATGGCGATAAGCGAGTGACCAAAAAAGGGCACTTTTTGAAAACCCCTCTTTCCCAAGGGCTCGGTTTTGACTATATAGTGGAAAATGACCTAGCAAATCTGAACCAAGTCTGAGCCGAATGCGAACCTACTCCTTATAATATATGAACCAAATCTGAAGCGAGTGACCAAAAAAGGAATCGAGTCACTTTAGGGACAAGTTTAGTGTGGCCAAAATAGAGTTAGCTTCCGAAAATTGAAAATTTTAAAAAGGGTAACTATATATCAAGTCATTAAAAAAGTCTAACGGAAATGCATTTACAGAAATTTAGATAGAGCGTAAATTCAAAACCCTCAAAATTGTCAAAAAGGCGGCTTTTTCACAAAAAAGAAAACTTATTGTAAAAAGAAAGTTATCCCATGAAATGATCCCAACTCTTAATTATTTTGAATGAGATTTTTGGGGCGATCATTTTCTGATTTGGTTGAGATTTGGTTGAGATTGAAATCATCTTTTGCCTCATCTTTTCAGAAACTGAAAAGATGAGGAAAAGATGTAAGCTTATCAACACGAGCAGCAGCTATTTAGTGGATAAATATGGGAAAAGGTTGGTTTGTTTTTTTGTTAGATGAGGAAAAGCACATGGTTGTCGAATGGATGGAGGGAAGAGGTCGAATTTCCATTGCCTCTCCCCTCTTCTCTCATTTCTTTCTCACAAATAAAAATTGAAACGAAAAATGAATAAAATGTGTCTCCCGTTCTTTGTTTGAAAGCAGATAAAAGGAAAAAAAGCTGGAAAGGATTCAGAGCAACAAAACAAGGCGACTGGGAATTGGCAGAAAATGAAGCAAATGAAAATTTTGTGTGAGACATTATTGGGGTACTGTAGCGGAGTCGTAAACGCACAGAGTAGTAGAAGAGTCCAGTACAGGAGGATAGTCTAATACAGGAGGATAGTCCAGTACAGGAGGATAGTCTAGTACAGGAGGATAGTCTAATACAGGAGGATAGTCCGGTACAGGGGACAGTCCAATACAGGAGGGCTGTCCAGTACAGGAGGATAGTCCAGTACAGGAGGGCTGTCCAGTACAGGAGGATAGTCCAGTACAGGAGGATAGTCCAGTACAGGAGGATAGTCCAGTACAGGAGGATAGTCCAGTACAGGAGGATAGTCTAATACAGTGGGACAGTCCAGTACAGGAGGATAGTCCAGTACAGGAGGATAGTCCAGTACAGGAGGACAGTCCAGTACAGAAGGACAGTCCAGTACAGTCCCACCGAGCCGTTTGCAGAAAATAATGGCTTTTCTAATGAAATCAGCTGTAGTTTAATTGTTGGATTTGTTGGTTTTAAATGGAAGTATGAAAAGGAATTAAAAGACCTACAGATTCAAGAATTACGGGCGATTTTTCTCTAATTACTATACAAAAAGTAATAAATAGGTTAGGTTTTCTAAATTTATAATTTAGATATTTACAAGTGTTTCATTCATGATCGGATAGTCATTAAAGTCATTCTTTAAGTTCAAAACTACAAAACTTTAAGATTAACTTCAAAATTTGGTCACAAGAAGCCGCGTCCCAGAGTTTTGGAGCTTTGAAGTTCTATAGAATTCCAAATTTGAGTTTCTGAGTAAAGTATCGAAGTAAAGTGTTGAAAATAAGCAGTAAGCAGTAAAGGGAATGGTTAACTCTAGAGCTATGCACTAGAGAACTAGAGCTATGCACTAGAGAACTAGAGCTATGCACTAGAGAACTAGAGCTATGCACTAGGGAACTAGAGCTATGCACTAGAGAACTAGAGCTATGCACTAGAGAAAAAGTGGTCGTAATTCTTGAACATCCTGTATTCACAAATCTAATAGATATGAAGAGAATTTGAGTCAGCGAAGTCAGCGAAGAGGAGATGCCAAGTTTTTCTCCCCAAAGGATTGAGAGATTCGTGAAGGGGTGCGATGCATTTCGAATGGACCCACGCCTTTTGCGAAAAAAAGAGGAAAAGTCAAAGAAGCCAGATTCCTTTTCTGAAGGAGAATCTTTTTTTCTGGGAAAGAGAAGTGAAAAATCTTTGCCTTGCCCCGAATCGAGCGGTCCGAAGCTTTTTGCTGGGGATTCCCCATGCTTTCGTCTTTTTTTTTGAAAAGAGTAATCTTAGGGAAAATGTTTTGACTTGCAAAAAGTTAAGAAAAAGGAGAACTTTGGGTTGGAAATGCGATCAAATTTGAGCTTTCGATCTTTCGTTCACTAACGTTAAACATTTTTCTGATTAAACCAGATTTCGGTGTATCTCATTTCCATTTCATAAAGTATTTTCGCTTTCCAAGCTTTAAGAAGAAAGGAAATGGGGATTTCTGTGTCTTTTACCAGTACAGAGTGCGGTATATTTAGGGTTAATGCATTTTTTTGGCTTTCGAAGACAATACATTAACCTAAAAACAACAATTAATCATGAAAAACAGTAATCAATCATGAAATGTAGAGAATCAAAAATCAAGCTTATATCCAAATTTTCAGAACGATTCAAAAACTTGTTTTCAAGAAATGCGAAATTTACGAATTTTCACAATGACGGAAAAGGAGGGGGAGGGGAGGGAGGGGGGTTACGGTATCTGTCTGTCTTTCTGTCTGTCTTACTGTACGGGCATTTTTCCAGCCGTATTTTGACCAATATTTCATTTTTCATTTTGGTTTTCAAGAAATGCCAAATTTACGCCAAATTGTGCCAATTTTTCACAAAACTTGCATTTTGAATTGGTGAATTGAAAACTGCGAGCTATTGTCATATGTGACAGTTTGAGCACTTTCTTCAAAAGAAACCCATTTTGGTGTCAATGGAAAAGTTGTAGAGAATCAAAAATGAAGCTTATATCCAAATTTTCAGAACGATTCAAAAACTGATTTTCAAGAAATGCGAAATTTACGAATTTTCACAAATGAATGACGGAAAAGGAGGGGAAGGGGAGGGAGGGGGGTTACGGTATCTGTCTGTCTTTCTGTCTGTCTTTCTGTCTGCCTTACTGTACGGGCATTTTTCTAGCCGTATTTTGATCAATATTTTATTTTTCATTTTGGTTTTCAAGAAATGCCAAATTTACGCCAAATTGTGCCAATTTTTCAGAAAACTTGCATTTTAAGCGAAACTACTAAGTGTATCTTTTTGGAAATTCGGCTATAAGCCTAATTTTTGATTCTCTACAACTTTTCCATTGACACCAAAATGGGTTTCTTTTGAAGAAAGTGCTCAAACTGGGACATTCCTTCATTTTTGAGTCTCCAGTCCTCCATTTTTGAGTCTCACACTTGTCTCACACACAAACCAAAATCCTACTACGAAAGAGGAATCCGCAAATTGCCTGTAAAATGGGCAGAAGTCGTCAATAATAATGGAAATTATTTGGAATGAATTGATGGTTTTATGTTGAATAAATTTTAGTTCAAAGTCCCGCAGTTTTCAATTCACCAACCTAATATTATAAAACCAAGAAAAACCCGACTTTATAACCAAGATTTGGTTGTTTAGGAAAAAGATTGCTTAAAGAAAAGGCTAAAATTTGAATTTCATGGGTTATTTTGTGGAAAAAGAATGGAAACCCATCAGAGACGACGAATTGAGTGCACCGGGAACTGTGGGTGCACTCAATTCGTCAATTCTCAAAGTAATAATCAGAAAAAGAGTCAGAAATCGGAAATATCATTAAGGAAAATCAAAATCATCAAAAACATCAAAAAATCCTTGAATTAAACAAATCGTTGAAGTTTTTTTGTTGCCAAAATTTCGTTTCCATTTTCGTTTCCATTGAGAGATTTAAGAAAAGGGATTAGGTGGAAATGGGACCAAATTTGTGGCCATTATTTGTGGCCCAGAAATGAGAACAAAAGAAGAGACCAAAAAGAAATAGCATAGGCAATAATTGTTGTTTAAATCGGAATGAATCAAATAAAATCAATAAAATCTGTAATTTCTAGATACAACAATGGATATGGATAAAGAAATGAATTAAAAAAAAACCACTGACCAAATGGTAACTCGAAACGAGCGTCGACGAGCAGCGAGTGCCCGGTGGGCGATCGAGTACCCACAGCCACTCCGCCACGAGTTTCAACCTCTGCATCTAGAAAGAGACACCATTTTTCGATATACCGTATTTCGATAGTTGATTCTAAAAGGAGTGCGTCCTCTAACAGAAGCTCAGTCTCTAACAAAAGCAATAACTAACGATATTCAGCTTAGTGGACCGAATACCCTAAGTTTTAAGCCTTTAAAGATTTAAAAAAACTATTTCCTTGCATTCTTTATCATTTGTTTTGTATAAGCAGTGACAATTTTGATAAGTTGGGTGATTAACAAGAGCAAATTCTTAAATGGTCGTAAAATTATGTTCAGCAGTGTACACTTAGCTTAGTGCTGACCCGATCCTGTTATTTAACAGTCAACTGGATTGCTTTTATAGCTGGTAGCTTTTATAGCTGGTAGCTTTTATAGCTGGTAGCTTTTATAGCTGGTAGCTTTTATAGCTGGTAGCTTTTATAGCTGGTAGCTTTTATAGCTGGTAGCTTTTATAGCTGGTAGCTTTTATAGCTGGTAGCTTTTATAGCTGGTAGCTTTTATAGCTGGTAGCTTTTATAGCTGGTAGCTTTTATAGCTGGTGTCTTTATAGCTGGTAGCTTTTATAGCTGGTAGCTTTTATAGATGGTAGCTTTTATAGCTGGTAGCTTTTATAGCTGGTAGCTTTTATAGATGGTAGCTTTTATAGCTGGTAGCTTTTATAGCTGGTAGCTTTTATAGCTGGTAGCTTTTATAGATGGTAGCTTTTATAGATGGTAACTTTTAAACAAACCTATTTGTAGCCATCGTCCAGCTCCAGGTTGTGCCGAGAAGAGGACTTGATGAAGGGGCAAAAGAGCAACTCCAAGAAGTTTATCCCATAAAACACCCTGAAAAACATAGTAGCTACCGTAAATACTGTAATAGTACCCCACCCCCGTCGTACAGTCGCGTAGTCGCAAAAGCTTTTTAGTATTTCATTTTTTTCAAAGCGCCCGTTCTTTCAAAAAATGCGTCTTTGGTATCAAAAAAATAGCTGAAATTCAGGGCTATTTTTTGATACCCAAGTGCACATTGTAGCATAAACCAGTGTCGAGAAAAACTCGTTCAAAGCTAGACTACGCAACACTCCACACCGTCATCATGGGGGTGGGGTACTATTACAGTATTTACGGTATGTTTATCTGATCTAAAATGTTATACTCTAATATTAGTCTGCTATATATTAACCTGCTATTTATTAATCTGCTATATATTAATCTGCTAATAAGCTTTAAAGCCACTCAAATCACTCAGAACCCACCTTTGACCACAACTCGATGCTCATACTTTCGTCGGGGCGGTTCGTTTCGCTGAAAGTTATCCACAATACTATTTAACGCTTTACTGGAATAGCTTTTGAAGAATAGATTTTGAAGAATAGATTTTGAAGAAAAGCTTTTGTAGAATAGCTTTTGTAGAATAGCTTTTGAAGAATAGATTTTGAAGAATTTGAAATCAAAGTCTATCTATAGTAGTTTATCTATCTATAGCTTATCAAACTTCTGCTAGAGCTGTTGGGTTAAAAATGCAAAAACATTTGCCGCCAGCAGGGGTCGAACCTGCGACCTTGGGCTTATTAGACCCACGCTCTAACCGACTGAGCTATGGCGGCACGTTGACGGGGGCGTGAACAAATGGGTGAACAAGTTGACAAGTCACTAATCCTTACAGCACATATCATATAGTACTTGCAATAAAAAAAACTCGATCCAAACTAGATCCAAACTAGATCCAAAACTCAATCCAAACTAGATCCAAAACTAGATCCAAAACTCGATCCAAACTAGATCCAAAACTAGATCCAAAACTAGATCCAAAACTAGATCCAAAACTAGATCCAAACTAGATCCAAAACTAGATCCAGACTAGATCCAAAACTAGATCCAAAACTAGATCCAAAACTAGATCCAAAACTAGATCCAAAACTCAATCCAAACTAGATCCAAACTAGATCCAAAACTCAATCCAAACTAGATCCAAAACTAGATCCAAAACTAGATCCAAACTAGATCCAAAACTAGATCCAAAACTAGATCCAAAACTAGATCCAAAACTCACAAAATGAACTCTTGTTCCCATTGTGGTTGAGCGCCGCGGACGGCCACCGTTGTCGATTTCACATTTTGCAATTTCACCGTAACATAGGAGTGAAATTCATCTAAAATTCCTTATTATAGTGATTTACGGGCATTTATTGTTTTTTATTTATTGCATCAATTACCTGTTAAACGTAAATGAAATAAAGCTTGCCAAAAATGACATTTCATACTGATTATAAGCGTAATTTTGTTTTTAATGCTCAATTTCAACTACTTCAATAACTTGGATACATTATAGTTTTGGAAATCCTTTAAAATTTACAAAGTGTGATGACCTAGCCAACTCGGGTATCGTGTCGCCTGATTTTCTTGGACTAGATTATCCAATCAAGCTCTATTTGATATCATTTGAAAGCCTGGAATGTCCTCTGTGCAATGATATAAAAAGCTAAGAGAAATCTTATCTCTGGACAAAGTTATAGGCTTTCAAAGTGTGACGAGTTGTTGAAAAACCCGGATTTTTTCAAAAGACCCGGATTCTTTCAAAAAAACCCAGAAACTACAAAAGAGCCAAATTTCCTATTAACTACTGTAATTTAGCTTATTTAGCTAAAGATTAGACTGTAACAAAGTTTACTATGATTAGTACAAGAGGGAAACAAGCGCCTTAAACTTTTTACGTTTACGAAATTCAGCCGCTAACGAATGAGGGTATTTCCGGGCATCCAATCAAAAAGTCACCAACATAAAAAATGTTCATAATACATATATTTTATAATAAATTTTTGAAATTAGCTCATTTGGTTCAGTAGAAATTTTTTTTTGAGCCCCCAAAGTTTAGGTTCAAAAATGGCTATAAAAAATTTTCTACTCAGCCAAAAAACTTGCCTAATAGCTCATTTTGTAGCCAATTTGATGTAGATTCTTAAAGTAAAGCCATCTAAAACAATTATTTGTTGAAAGTAGGAGAAAGAGGGCGAGGAACAAATTCAGGGCGATTCTCAAATGTGAAAACAGCGACCGAGTTCAACTGAAGTCGTTCCTCGCCCTCTTTCTCCTAGCTTTGAAAAACAAATGTTCAATGTAGCTTTACTTTAAGAATCCACATCAAATTGGCTACAAAATGAGCCATTAGGCAAGTTTTTTGGCTGAGTAGAAAATTTTTTACAGCCATTTTTGAACCTAAACTTTGGGGACTCAAAAAAAATTTTCTACTGAACCAAATGAGCTAATTTCAAAAATTTATTATAAAATATATGTATTATGAACATTGTTTATGTGGGTGACTTTTTGATTGGATGCCCGGAAATACCCTCATTCGTTAGTGGCTGAATTTCGTAAACGGCTACGACAGTATATAAAATTAACTTTTTTTATATCATTTTGCTTACTAATATTTTAAATCTTTATTTTTTCATTTTTAAAACTCTAAAACCCTATTTTATTGCACCAAAACAATCATTAAATTTGTTTCCATTGTGATGGGGTTGCAATTGCTTTTTCCCTTTTTTCCCCTTTTTTCCCTCCTTTCCCTTATTCTCTTTCATTCCATTTCTGATGGCCATTTTGTCATTCGATCTCTCCTATCCATCAAAGGCCAAAAGAAAGAAAGAAAAACGAAAAAAAAAAGGCAAAAATACTCGCCAAAAACGACTTGGCCTTTCCACAGAATAATGAGAAAATTGAGAATTGGAGTAAAGAGAAAACACACAATGAAATCCCTTTGACGTGAATGAACTTTGAAAAAACTGACACCCAGTCATAGAGATTAAAAAATAAATGAGAAAATGAAGAAACGGAAACATTTTGGAGTAGAATGGGAACTCATTCTTTAACTCATTTCTTTAAGAAGGTGAAAAAACTATAGTCTTTCTTTTCGATTTTCTCGTTTCACTTAATTTTTCATTCGATTCACAATTAGATTCCTCAAGAAGATCGCAGTTAGATTCCTCAAGAAGATCACAGTTAGATTCTTCAAGAAGATCACAGTTAGATTCTTCAAGAAGATCACAGTTAGATTCCTCAAGAAGATCACAGTTAGATTCTTCAAGAAGATCACAGTTAGATTCTTCAAGAAGATCACAGTTAGATTCCTCAAGAAGATCACAGTTAGATTCCTCAAGAAAATTGAGTAAATCCTACAAAAGGAAGGATTAGGAAAGCTTTCAAAATTCGGTATCTTTGATTTCCCAAGAATAAACGGCTAGGATTTAGTTCATTTCAACCAAATATTCATTAGAAATGGCTCAATGGCATGGCTCAATGAAATGGCTCAATGAAATGGCTTAATTAGATGGCTCGGTGACATGGCTCAATGAAATGGCTCAATGAAATGGCTTAATTAGATGGCTCAGTGACATGGCTCAATGAGATCGCTCAATGAGATGGCTCAATGACATGACTCAATGAGATGGCTCAATGAAATGGCTCAATGAGATGGCTCAATGAAATGACTCAATGGCATGGCTCAATGACATGGCTCAATGACATGACTTAATCATTAAAATGATTTAGATTGTCCACGTTAACCTTTATAAAATGTTAACGGCATGTTAACGTGGACAATACAGAATATTTAAACGGCCTCTATTACTACAAAAATATGGCGCCCATCTGGGCCAATAGCTCAATCGCGATTGAGCTATTGGCCCAGATTGCATGAGCTCGATTGCAATCGAGCCTTTGGCTTCCTTATCCCATCGCTGAATAGTAATTTTTGAGAAACTATCATCAAGTTTAAGAAGAATAAGCTGAGATTCAAACTTCAACTTCAGTCCAGCTTCAACTTCAGTTCAGCTTCAACTTCAGTCCAGCTTCAACTTCAGTCCAGCTTCAACTTCAGTCCAGCTTCAACTTCAGTTCAGCTTCAACTTCAGTCAGGATACTCCAAAATAGGATTTAGATTAACATTTAGATTTTAATTAACAATTTATCAGGTGTCTAAATCATTTTAATGATTCGATCTCGTATGTCTTAGTCTGACCACGTCTAAGACAGTGATTGCTGGCATTTCGAACCCGAAATGACCCCTGTTGCGCAAATGACCCAGTTACGCAAATCAAATGGTGGAAGTTAGCCTACCCTTTTAAGCCTACCCGTTTGCCTACCCCTATTTTTAATGTTAAATTGAAATATCCAACCTGAAAATCATCGTTTGCCTATAAATTCTAAAACCTTCACTCCCTAGAGTCTGAAAATTTAATTAGCGGTGATTGAACACCCTGTACTACTTTACTACTTGACTACCGTGACTACTTGGCTCCTTGACTGCGCCTTGACTGCGCACTAAATAAATACTGCAACACCATATTACTGTACTGTAGTGAAGAAGCCTGTAAGCCAAAGAAGCCTGTAAAGAGTACTGCACAATGAGTCTTTCAAACAGTACTAATATACCGTATTTTCTCTAACAGTAGTGTACTCTGAGTACTCTCTAACAGTAGTGTACTCTGAGTACTCTCTAACAGTAGTGTACTCTGAGTACTCTCTAACAGTAGTGTACTCTAAGTACTCTCTAACAGTAGTGTACTCTGAGCGGTGATAAATTTCATCCAGTCAATCAATTTTAAACAATAATGATAATAGATTTTTGTCATTTCAATTTTTTTTCACAAATTTGTCATTTCAAAATATTTTTCTTTTATTTTAAACCAAGGCCCGCCAAAAATTAACGTGTGAATTTGCGATTTGGCTTTGAGCGATTTGAGCGAATTTTTTATAACCCCCGCACCGAATGATTTAGACAAAGAAAAAAATTTGAAAATTGGTTATTTTCTAAAGTTTTTTTTTGTAGCTTATAATGTGGGAAAGGAATTTTCGAGAAAGAAACGATTAAATAAAGAAAAGAAAAGAAAAGTTCACTTGCCTCCTTTCGAAATCACTTGTCTACGAGATTTCGAAAGAAGATAATCAGATCCCCACATCGACAGGTTCTGATACATCGATAGGTCGATAGGTTCTCGAGATTTCGAGCAATTTAAGCGACGCTCAGGGCGCACTACTATTAGAGAGAATACGGTATGCGATAATTTTTTGCAATATCGTATTTTCTCTAATAGTAGTGCACCCTGAGCGTCGCTTAAATTGCTCGAAATCTCGAGAACCTATCGACCTATCGATGTATCAGAACCTGTCGATGTGGGGTCGGAAAATGTAGCTGACGATGAGATCTAGTGGGGGATTTGAGTGTTTAGCTTGTGTGAAAACTTTGAAAGCCGTAAAATAGTCATCAACTCGACGGGGTGCA